GCAGTCCTGAATCTGTTATCGATGCAGAACTCAGACATCTGGGCCATTTATTCCTGTTGGAGATTTTTCAAGTGGCCTCCCTTGTTCAAACTGGATTTTTCTTAACTTTTTTGCTTTTGTTTTTAGAGGCAGGGTTTCCTCTGTGTAGCTTTTGGAGCTTGTCCTGGAACTTGCTCTATAGCCCAGGCTGGCCTCGAACTCACAGAGATCCACCTGCTTCTGCCTCCTAAGTGCTGGGATTAAAGGCGTGCACCGCTGCTGCCAGACTCAGATGTGGTCATTTTAAAACGAGAATTTTATGGCAGTTATAATTACGCATAGCGATGTTTAGGAAAACATGAATGAATTGATAGGTGATCTCAACTGAGAGGAACTCTAAAACAAACAGAAATTCTAGAAGTAAAATCAGTTTATAAAAGAAGGAAGATATCATGAAGCCTTAAAAGTGAGGAGAGATGCTAGGAGCCAGTAAACTCAAAAATTGAACAGTTGAGGTTATCTACTTGAAAGAACTTTAAAAAAGACATCTTTTTCCCATGAGCAGCCTGCCCGTTAAGACTATAATAAACACACACAGAAGTAACAGGTTTTCGGGTGGAGAGAAAGTGGAGCCTTGCAGTTGCTGGTAGTAACAGGGATTAGTCTGGCTCTTGTGGGAAAGCCTGACAGCCCCCAAAACATTAAACAGCGGGGCTGGCGAGATAGCTCAGAGAATGAAGGCACTTGCCGCAAGCCAGGCGATATGAGTTTGATTCCAACAACCTACCAGGTCAAAGGAGAGAACCCACTTGCCTCAACTGTCCTCTGACTTCCACAAGTATGCCCCTATCCCAACACAATAATGTTAAACAACAATCTGACCCTACTAATGTACCCAGAATATTCAAAACCAGATATTCAAACAAATGTCCACAATAATGTTGCTCGTGACAGCACCAAGGTTCACAACCTATAAAAACCAAGTATGCTATCACCCCATGAAAGATTAGTCAGTCATGAATGATCTTCAAAATATCATGCTAATATTAGGAGCGATAGCTCAGCAGTTATGGGCACTAACTGCTCTTCCGGAAGATCTGGGCTTGATTACCTACATCACACAGTGCCTCACAACCACCTGCAGCTCCAGTTCTAAGAGGTTCATCCCAAACCGCTGGCCTCTGTGAACACCGGGCACATATATGGTACACGGGCATACTTGCAGGCAAAACAATCATATACATAAGAAAATTTAAATATTATGCTAAGTGAAAAGGCCATTCCCGAAAGGTCACACCTTGCATGATTCTGTTCTGCTTATGTGAACTGTGCAGGGCAGAGCGCCGAGACAGTGAGCAGCCAGGCCATCAGAGAGGAGGGCACGAAGGGGCTGCTGCATCATCTACGCTTCTGGTCTGTATCTTAGTCTGTCTGTGCAGCGGCCACAGTATTCCAGACACTAATTTATAAAGAAAAGAAACTTCCAGCAGTTGCAGAGGAATTTTTCATGGTTCTGCAGGCTGGAAGGTGCTGACATTCAGGGATGACCTTCTTGCTGTTGTCAGCTCAAGGTGGAAGAGCAGGGAGTCAGAGACGGGGTAAGAGAGAGAAAGGCCAGGCCAGGCCAGGCCGGGGCTTGCTCGTTCACAATCTGTCCACTCTGCCACAACACTGCTAAAATGACAAGAAGCCTGGGGTGGAAAACCAAGGATCTGGTTTCCCACCTAACCTACACACAAGGAAATCATCCAAAGTGAGCTGTGGACCAAAATGGAGGCATGGAGACTATAAAGCTCTGAAGAGGACATATTTGGGGGGAGGGAGCTTGAGATAGAAAATGAGAAACAAAGGTGATTCTTTAGATTATAAGGATCCTTCCTTTTGCCTCGCTATGGTGGTGATGCACATCCTTTTCCCAGCACCCGGTGAGCAGAGGCAGACAGATCTCTGGAGTTCAGGGCCAGCTTGATCTACATAACTTTCAGACCAGTCAGTGCTACATAATAAAACCCTATGTTAAAAAAAACAAAACAAAAGACCTTCCTTTTCAAGAATGTGAATTCTGTAATGACCATGTATCATAGTCATATAAAAAATGAAAATTTAACTTCCCGTTGCTGTCCTCACTTGAGACCCTCAGGACACCCTGCTTACACAAAGCAGAAGTGGGAATTAGACTGTCTGTGCTTTGGCTCCATTCTGACAAGCATTTACAGGGAGGAGACAATATTATACAAAGAACTACACATTACACTGAAATTGTCTCTTAAGTCATCAGATGCTACAAATGTTGCGCCTCAAAACACAAACTTACTGGAACCAAAGGACTTCCGTTTTTTTTAACTCATGTTAACTATGAAACACTCTAGTTCCACAATCCCAAATGTGACACAATCTAATTAGCTAGAAGAGCAAACCCCACAGAATGCAAATGCTTTGCACAGAAAGGGCCCCACGGCAGCAAGTTTAAAAGGCGTACAAATCACTTCCCACTCTGAGCAGGCTGTGCAACTGCTGGCCCAGCAGGACATGATGAAAGGGATGCTGGGCCAGGCCTCAAAGCATGGGCAGCTTCCTATTCCAGCTGTCGAAAGGAGGCCAAGAAGTCCTGCGAGGAGGAAATGGAACGCCATGTTGAACTCCAGGGCAAGGCCAGCATAAACTCTGCCAGTTCTGCTGCGGTGCTTCCTCTCCCGCCCTCCCCTCCCCTCGAGATATCCCAGTGACACTGGAGGATCAGGCGGGACATTCCCACAAATCTTGTCCCATGCTGCACACTGGAGAACAAATTAAAGGAACACTGTTACAGTGAGAGCCACTGGGCCACAACCCAGTGTCCTACACGCCTAGACATAAACTTTCTCAAAACTGAAGCTTGATAGCACACCTCAAAACTCAGTTAAACATATTAATATGATTCCAAAGGCCACAGGGTCAACACAAGAGAAAAGCTGCCAGGCTCCTGCACCCTTTGTTGCTTATTTATTAGGACACCCACAGTGCAGTCTCTCCATGGCCATGGAGGGCAAGATCACATGGCTTAGTCTGTTTACACTCTGACAGAGTAAATCATTTTCAAAGATAAACATTTAATTCCAATGTATGAGCCTCCGCTTACAGTCTGCCCTTTGAAAAGGACGAAGTATGGCTCAACGGGGCTGAAAGCATTTTGGAGCATTTTTAACTTTAAAGTCGATCAGAAGTCTTCATTGTTTGGTTGAACCAGTTTATAATTTTCTTATGCAACTTTTCATATTCATGGTTCAGTTTTCACACCTGTGCATGAACAGATGCTCTTTAAAAAAATAAGAATAACACAGTTGCTCACATTTAGGTTCAAAACCAATCAAGCACTGCAGCCTCCTAGCAGGGAAAATGAATGTCTGCTGCCCTCTCCTGTTACAACAATGAACTGAGAAATAACCAGGGGAGGCTGGAGCTGAGTGAAATCCTCAAACCAAAGGGAATGGTCATGTCATTCTCACGGGACAATCAAAAACCAGACAACAACCAGAAAATGTATTGGTAATATTTATATTTGAAAGTCCCCCATTGATACATGAGGTTTAGATTACAACTTATTTACAGTAAGTAATTTAAAAAAAAAAAAAAAGAAGAATGGCTGGTAAAGAAAATAGAGGAGACGGGAAAGAGAGGAAGGGAGGAAAGGAAACCTGTATTCACAGACATCATAATATGGGGTGTTCGTTTCCAGGAGAGACTACGGCCGCTACCGTGCACAAGAAGCAGCACAGATTAACATTCCGCTAAACTCAAGGTCTGCTCAGCTTCCTCTTGAGATGCAAAATCCTTTCAGGCTCTCAAAATTAAATGTAGAGGAATATAAAACGCATTGCTGATATACTTATTACAAAAGTCCTTTATGGCTCATCCCCTAACTCCGCTCTGAAGCAGCTGAGCCGGAATACAAAAATAAAGCTATCCCTGTGCAAACACAACGCCACAGACCACACCTGCTGCCACCTTCTTGCGACAGGCGACCATCACTCTGGAGTAACATCAAAGGAGAGAAGCTCTTCATTTCCTGGGCCAGATCAATACAACCAATCAAAAGGGAAAACAAAGCACGAAAAGAAAACTTCGTAATGCTGACACCAGCCTCCCATCCTCCCCACTGCCCATCCCCCCTGATCCCCCATGCCCACAAAGACATAAAACAGCTTTTAAAGCTATAAGTATACTTTATTTCCCTTTCCATAATGTGACTGAGCCTAGGGCTGTGTGTTCAGCATAGCAGGTGCGATTCCAAGCACTCCCTAGGTCTGTCTGCACCCTGGACTGCTGCACCGGGCACGGATAGAAGGTGCAGAATCACATGACCCTGCTACCTAGGCAAAGAGCCCAAGGAGGAGGAGCTTGCTCTGCTCCTGCACATCCAGTCACATTCAGGGGATTATTTATTTCTTTATTTTTTATTTTATTTAAAAAAAAACAGTCAATGTCAGGAAGAACAAAATGTAATCGAAATTGCAAAGAACAATAACAATGAGGAGGACCACCAGGGACATGGGCGCAATGAGGAGTGTACGCTTGATCCGGAGGAGACGATCACTTCACCCACACAGCCGTGGCAGGCCTGCAGCCTGCGGCCTCAGCATCATTCTATCACAAAATTTAAAATTAAATTTTTTTCCCAAGGACACTCTAAGTCTTATCCCTGAAACCAATATGGTAGGGATAAGGTTGGAGTGGTCACCACTCACTAACTACAATATTTGCTATTGAAAAAATATATTTATATATAGTTCTGGAAACTATGAAGCAAACAAAATAGAACACAGAGCTGAGTTTGTCATAGTTAACTCACGAAAGCGACAGCAGGATTGCCCAGGGAAGGTCAGACAGGGGGCTGCTGCAAACGCAGCAAGTATGTCCTTAAATATGTCACATAGTGCAACAATCAGGTCACCTGGGCGAGCTTCTCCTTACCACACACAACATGACAGACGTCACATTGTCACTTTCAGTTAAAAAGAAAGACGAGTGTTTTTTCTCAGAAGTTGCCCTGTGAGTTTAGACAGCTCTAATCACAAATCTTTAAATAGTCTAAAGCTTAGCTTTATTCTTCTCAGCTGGGAATGATCAACAGACAAAACTGACAGACAGGGTGCCAGCACTGTTCGCCCTCAGCTCAGAGGACAAGGACATGGTGCAGAGAGGGGTCCTGACCTCGCTCATCTCAAATGAGCACATTTCATCCCGAGGGGCACAGGTTACGGCAAGCAAAGTTTATACTATCAAAGATACGTGTAATGAAAATCTAAAGTAACGGCTAAAATAGAAAAGCTAAAAGAAGAGATGGGCTACGGGTTTAATTCTCAGCATCAGTATGTGAACCTGCACCTCTGCTCCAGCACGTTTCTAACACGGGACCCTCCTTGTTAGGGATGCTCTCTAAAACCCTATGCGTTCCACCGAACCATCTTGTACTTGGAGGTCTCACACCTTATAAAACAACAACAACAACAACAACAAAACACTGTGTTTCCTTTTGAGAATCAACAAAGGCATTAAAAAAAAACCAAAGGTACCTAGATGAAAACATTATCCACCATTAGTTTACTTTATGTACACACTGTGACCGACAATCTGGAAACACTTCATAAGTGAGAAAGGTCAATCAATGGCTTTTCCCCTCCTTTTTCTTGCAAACAACAAAGCTGCATATTCTACTTTACATTTAAAAGGAAGGAAATATACAAGCCCATATCTATATGGTATTTCTACGAGAGCAACAACAGTTCATGTGTTCACGTTAGCTACGATCACAACTCAACATATGAACACAGAATCAGCTCTACGTCATGAACACTGCTGGACATGATGGTTCAGGGTTATTCAGCCCTGTCTCTAATGAACAAGAGCTTCCCAGGAAACAAATCCCCCAACACATATTTGTCAGTACACAGCAATGCAACCACATTGGGCAAGTACATACTGCACACCAGTACATCAGCAATTTGCCTATCAAGCAAGATTCTTCCTTTAATACAGAACAGAGAGCCAATAAGATACATCTAGAGTATAGCCCTAGTTTTGTTTTTATTTCTTAAACAATTTGGTCACGATGCACCTTTGATATAAAAGTATTTTTTAAACTTTATTATTAATACTCAGGACATTAGGAATTTCCAGATTTTTTTCAGTAGCATTTGTAGAACCACTTTTGGTAACAAATACAGTAGTTAGGAATATGCATCCATATCAGAATGCATAATGTTGATCCTGAATCCTTTCTGGCTAAAAACAGGGCTGGCGCTGTGGTGAGCTATTGAACAAGAATCTACAAAAAAACACTGGAACATGTTTTGTTTCTCCCAGAGGCTGCATCCTCTTTTGCTGAAATACTTTATAAGTACATATTAGAAAGTAAGGCAACAACTTCAAACAGTTCACGCTGTTTGCTCCACTCGGTCCCCAATTGGATGCGTAGTCCTGGTGCTCAATGTCATGGTTATATGCTTAGTGTTCTGTCTTTCTCACTTCATAGGGTGGGAAAGGACGTTTCTCTGACATGTCTAAATTGTCTCTGCTCTGGATGCACCATGACGACTGCAGCCAGTGCTGCAGGGGCTGGGGCCTTGCGCGTCCCGCTGCCTGTTTTCAAAGGATTCAAGACATTGATTTGGACTTACCATATCTGATACGCAGCCCAACATTCCCTTCGCTACTATGCTTATCACCCCCTCTCTTGTTACTCCTGATCTGAAAACTAAAGGAGTACCGGCAACACCTGGGCACCGGGAGGATGCTCACCCAGCAGACAAATTTCACCAGCGACCTCTGTAATTCATTGCCCCATTCCACGCGGACATCTGACTCATGAAGGTGTGCAAAAGGAAAAGATGCCAAATTACAGTCAAGCTGTCCAGAGGAGGGTGTTATACAAACTTATAAAGAATGACAATCTTTTCTTCCTTTACTATAAATACATTTAACAGCTTAGCAGAAAGACAAGCTAAATTTAAGATTGTTCACATTTGAAAATTGTATCATACTCTCTGCTAGTGATAAATAAGGAACTCCTGATAATGGAATTTTAACATAGCAATTTCACCAACAGATCTCTGAAGACCTTTTGTTGTTTTTCTTTTTTTTAAGAGGGTTAGAACAATGATTATGTTTGCAAAGTTCTGAGAAGTCCATCTACTGTCCAAACTTTGGATTGAAGTCCTTATGTTTCCTTTACTTAGAGACAGGTATATACAGTGCTGCTGTAATAATGAGACAAATGTGAAATCTACTGTAAAGTTGCACAATACAGAAAACTGTTGCTCCATCCTTCTACTACATAAGCATGTGACCCCATGGGTTAGTGATGTCGCTGTCAGATTGCTGTTAAGTTGGAATTATCCCATCGCGCCTAAGACCTCTCTTTAACTCCAGATCCTCCAATTTTTTCCACAATTCTTCACGCTCCTTTTCTTTCTTTTTCTCACTGGAGGAAGAAACAAAAAGCAGTGTCAACATTGTTTGGTAAGGTTTGGTAAGACTGCCCACCAGAAACAGCCTTTCCCGCACAGAGGCCCTAGTGGCTCTGAAGCGACTGGCAGCAAGCTTCTTTGGATATCCTTTTGGGGTTCTCCCTCATATGGGGTCTATGTTGACACTCTCACTGACATAGAAATAATACAGAGTAGAAAACAAGACTTTTAAGGTTTACATTAACATTCATTTAACTGCAGATACAGTATAAATTATAATACAGTACACAATTACTGAGAAAAATAGAAATGGCTTCTAGTATCATATATCTTAAAACCAAAGTGTTTGGTGGCTTCTAAATGCTCAGGACCTTGTTAGAACCCAACCTTCTATTTGTTCCCAAATAAATACTCAAAAGAGATGCTGGGAACAACACTGACAGAAAAGGGACAAGATCAAGAAAATACATTTTCTCCTTCATTTGTGTCCAGTTTTCCCATACAATGCACACTGAAATTGGTCATTTCTGAAAACATATGATCAAAGTGTATTTATATTTTATGGTATATATTTATATAACATATAAGATTGTATTAATGATCTACATGAAACTTTGTGGATACTGGTATTATGGTGTATTAAAATTTTAAGTGAACAAGCCTTTAAACTTGGTTAAATACCAATTTATCAGGGATTTCCAGAACTTCAGACTACATTGTTTGGCAAAGTTTACCACAATTGGATAAGCCAAAATAGGTTCAGCAATTGAATTTTGTCAAAGACATTTGGAAATTTCAGTATTTTTAAAACAAATGCTTTAATATCAATCAAGTAGGAAGTACATAATCAAAGAACATAAAACTATAAATTAAAAACATTCACACTTATTTAAAATTTTTCATCACATGAATTCACATCTACCAACCTAATTCACTTCATTACTCGCTTACTGCAATGAACTGGTAAAAAGTAGACCAAGATAACACAGTGAAACCACAAGTTCAAACCATTCCTAAACACAGCAGCTCTGCTGCCCCAGACTCAAGCAACTGGTCCTCGCATATCTCACTTCAGCAACAGCAAACTCTTTATTCAGAGAAATATGGACAATGTGACTTTGCACGGAATTCCAATGTTAAACACTATTTCAGCAATCACTAATACTTAGCAAAGTTATATTAAATTCTCTAACAATAGAATATAAGGCTGGAGAGATGGCTCAGCAGTTAAGAGCACTGGCTATTCTTCCAGCGGACCCAGGTTTAGTTCTCAGCAACCTCATGGCAGCTCACAACCATCTATAACTCCAGTTCCAGGGAAATAACATCCTCTTCTGTCCATCTCCCTTGTACGGACATGGCACACATACAAACACATATGTGCCTTTTATGTATATGAATATACACATAAAAATAAACTTTTAAACAGAAAACCAATAAAAATTAAGTTTCATTCTCCTTGAACTAAAGAACAAAACAAAGCGAAACAAAAGTTCTAAGAAAACCAAGCAATTTGGCATTCCCATTGCAATTGCAAGGATGTTGAATCATATACCATAATCACTTCTTCACTAAATAATTAATATTCTGGCAATTAAGACCTTGTTTACTATGATTGCTATTTTAACTATTTTAACAGTGTGAACTTCAGCAGGCATAATTGTCTTCAAACAAAAAGTCTTTAAACTTAAGTAGCAATTTTGAACTAGAACAACTTCATTTAAGGGCATAAGGGGACATCAGAAAAGTATCCAATCATTATAGATTATTTTTTATTTTTAAATTAAGTTTAAACTTATTCAGAAAAATATTTTAGGTACTAGAAAGAAGGCTTTGCAGTTATGAGCCGAGGGTTGCTCTTTCAAAGGACCAAAATCAGTTCCCAGCACCTACATGGTGGTGGCTCATGAATGTCTGTAACTCCAGTTCTAGGGGCTCCAAAGTCCTCTTCTGGGCTCTGCAGGCACCAGACAAACATATATAGCACATACATATATGCAAGCAAAATATTTATGGACAGAAAAAATAAAAAAAATACTTTAGAAAATTTTAGCATGTGATCCCACACTCATACAGCTGAGGCAGGAGGATTACTTGAAGTTCAACGCTAGCCTAAGCTACAGTGAGAACATATACCTCCTCCCAAAAGGCAAAAAGCCGAACTAATATTTTAATAAAGACAGAAGGAGATGGAGGCTGAAGAGGGTTACACTCTAGAGTGAGTCGAGTTCTAGAAAGGGAGTTGCTGGCTTCCAGACTCTAGACTCTAGGTTGTAAGCAAGTGGCTGGGCAATTATCACTTGTTTGATAGTACAATCTGAAGATAATATTAGTCTAAACAAATGGTCTCAGAGAACACTGGTTTCAGTACACAGACATAAATTTTATATAAGGTTTAATGCCTCTGACTTCTTTGTCTGGCAGAGGCAGAGAGAAAAGCAAGGGTTTGGGAACCTCTACCAACCGAAATCAGGTCATCCGGTGGCAGCTCACATTGCCCTGAACTGCAGCTGGCGTCATGACATCATCGCCTCCTTCTATGGAAGCTGCTCCCTCAGTTCATCGGCTCTACAGTGTGCAATGTGATTTGTCCTGTGTGTCCTTTCTTTCTCCAGATGAGTGTACGCTGAGCTGCCATACTACTTTCATATTGACAACTTAGTTTTTAAAACTTGCAGTCTCAGCTTAGAACATTCCCATCATCCCCAAAGAAGAAATCATGCTGCCCACTTCTTCCTCCAGATCCTGGCACCCAGGTCTGTTGTGTCTATGGACTTTCTTTTGCTGGCCTTTCATATAAATGCAACTATATATTGGAAAAAAAATCTAGATACTTTTTTGTTGTCACATGTAACCCAGACTGCCCCGTATTCCTGCCCTTCTGGCTTCCACTTCCCAGATGCTGAGATTAGAGATGTGCACCACATCTGTACCAAAAGTCTAAATATCTCTGATGCATTCAGTGCCAGCCTTATTTTTCCTAGTTGTTCTCGCTGTCGGTGGGAATTTTCAGACTTCAGCGCCCTGAAAAGCTGGGAATCCTGTCAAACTCTCCTCCCGTCATTTCACACAGCACTAGTGCTGGCGCCCATGCGCAACAGTGTCAAAGCTTACTCCACCCACCATTCTCATTTGTAATGCTTAAAAATCTGCTGGGAACTGAAACCATCAACTTCCTGCCATCAACAAGTAAAACCTCATATTTCGCTGTTTCATTGCAGCCCCAGATACCCTTGTTCAATTACTAATTAACAGTTACTCACTTCTGTGGAGAAGCCAATACTTGTATCAGCTCAGAACAGCCTTTTGCACATTTGGCAAAGTATCATTCTTGTAAAAATTAAATAAACAAATAAATAAAAACAACTTTCATTAAGGAAGTTCATTTACTATTAACCGCCTTAGCCTTCTAGCCTAAGAATGGTCAACCTCACAGTTGTCTATTCCTAATCCCTTAGTTAATTCCGTCTATTTTCAAGTGATTGATTTATTTAGCTTAGACAATAAAAGATCACAAAACAACTTCATTGAGAAAATTTGTTCAAGATGGATCAATTAATTTGCAATAAGGCTGTGTGTGTGTGATTGTGTATGTGTGCATACTAAGTCAGGCACACCCTATCACTTACTTACACTGAAGCTCCTCCAATATTCTTACTAAGATTTCACCCAGACTTACTCCCTGTTTACTACAATAACAATAAGGATTATAGGGTCTCTGTTGCCCTAACAGGCATGTGTTATGCGTTGTGCCTTTAATTCCCCTCCCTCTTTAAAGTGTATGGATATGTTTCGCCTGCACATATGTCTGTGCATCGTGTGCGTGTCTAACCCTACAGGAGACCAAAAGAGCAGGTTAAATCCTTTGAAACTGAAGCTACAAGTTTTGGGAGCTGTTGTGGGTGCTGGACTTGAACCCGGGTCCTCCAAAAGAGCAGCAAATCCTCTTCACAGCCGAGCCATCTTTCCAGTCCCCTTAGCTCTTTTAAAAAAAATAACTTTTCTAAGATTTTAACTTAACTGTAGAGCATGGAGGGTCATTATAAACTTAGCAATTTTTAACAACTGGTAATGTCATGAATTAACAGTTATTTTGGTTCCAAGCGTAATACAGAATTGACATTTATCTCAATGTTGTAATTAAAAACAATACTATAATTAAAACTATATTCTGTGATTAAACCGTTTCCCATAAAACCACATCCTGTAACTTAAAAGCAGTCTTTGCCATGGTCCTTGGTTCTTTGTTCTCAAACCTTTCTACCCATTGCACTTTTCCTTAGTAAAACACAGTAACACATTCTAAATAAGGAAAGCAAAGAAGCAAAACAATAGCAGAAAACATCCTTCCATGAGGTCCAGCAAAATCCCAGGTGTGAACATCTCCACATGCCCACTTTGGGACTCTTTAAGGTCCACCCACGTTTTATGACCTACAACGCTGGCATTCGCCTTCCTGTGATCAGAGTCTAGTCAAAGAACCAACCACCAAGAGCTCTGTGCTCTCCTTAATCTCTTCATTACATCTGTGGTTTGGGTAGGAATGACCCTACAGGCTCGGAGATTTGAATGCTTGATCACCAGGAAGTGGTACTATTAAGAGATGTGGCCTTGTTGGAGGAAGTGTGTCATTGAGGGGTGGCTTTGAGGTTTCAAATGTTCAAACCAGGCCTTGTGTGTGTGTCTCTCTGACTGCTGCCTGGGATCTAGATGTAAAACTCCCAGCTACCTCTCCAGTATCATGTTTACCTGCGTGTTAGAAAGCTTCCTACCATGATGACAATGGAGTAAAACTTCTGAAACGAAAGCAATGTTTTCCTCTCTAAGAGTTGCCATGGTCATGGTGTCTGTCCACAGCAACTGAAACCCTACCTAAAAAAGCATTCTTTAGCAAGTTGAACATACTGTACTTAAAACAAAACTTGGGCCAGGCAAGGAGGCACACGCCTTTATTTCCAGCACTTGGGAGTCAGAGACAGGCAGATCTCTGAGTTTTAAGCCACCCTGGTCTGCAAAGTGAGTTCTAAGATAGCCAAGGCTACACAGAAAAAACATGCCTTGAAAAATAATAATAATTTCAATTATATTCAACATTTAATATATTATTATTATATAGTATATAATTTATTTTAATATAATAAAAATACAATGGGAGAATCGTGAATAAAATCAAGAAGGACTTTTTGCTAATACTAGATCAATAAAGTTTGTGTTCTTTTCAACTGTTGTTTTAAGTTGTAATGCATTTGTTGGTTCCTAGATTAGAGCCCAACTTTAGTTGGAGTGAGTTGGCAAGCAGTCAGCCTAGAGAACTGACTGGAACCCAACGGCTCCCTGAAGTGGGCCTGAAAGTCCACTTACGTGCCAGGTTCTGAACCTTGTGGTACAACAGAAACAAGGGGAGAAAAGCAGCAGGTCCACCAAAACCACACCATTACGGGCAGCACACTGATGAGGACACAGCTAATGTGTATGCAGGAGTGGATCAGGCTGCTGTTTAGGATCTGAGGGCAACTAGGCAACTTCAGCAAAGAGCTCAGAAAGGACTCTGGAGCCTTATGCACAGCAGACAAAAGAGCTTTAGAAAGTTACCGCTGACGATCTGACTTGTATGTGGCTGTCAGCTCATCAAACATGGTGCTGTTCATTTCCATGAAGGCCTTCAACACGTTGTACACCAGCGCCACAATAGCCCTGTGAGGTGGAGAAGAAGAACACACTGGTTAGTCATCCACAGTGGGGCGCTGAACAGAAAAGCGGGACATTTCTGGTAGGCATGAGTCAGTTTCTCCTCTGTTATACATAAAAAACTTGAAGCTTTTCTTTGACAAGTTCATATACTTATAAAATGCATTCTGATCATCTTAATCCTCCTACTCTCTCCTCTCTACCAACCTTATTACCCTCACTGCTCCCTACAAATCCATTTCCCACACTCATGTAGCGCAGGTTAGCCGAAACCTCATTATGTATCTAAGGATGACTCTGAACTCCTCATCCTCCTGCCTCCACCTCCAGAGTGTTGAGACTATGGGCATGTGTTTCCTATCCCACCTGGCTTCCTATCTCACATCTAGAGAGCTGAATTCTTTACTATTCACAATCTTCCTGAGGGATGGCAGAGTTAAAACCCAAAGTTATCCTTCCAAATTATTGGTGCCCAAAGCTGACATGTTTGTATGGCCAATGCATAACAAAAGGCAAGTATAAAAATAAAGCTGCTTTAGAGGTTGGGGACATAACTTAGGCAGGTGCATGTGTGTGCAGTCACTTACACACACACACACACACACACACACGTGCATGCATGTGTTGATGGTATACACCTGTGATCTCAGTACTTGGGACAAAAGTAAGAGCATTGAGAGTTCGAGGCCACTGTGGGCTACATACAGAGATTATCTTAAAACAAGGAAACGAAGAGCGATAGACAGATCATTTGTACCTTACAAACAAGAATAAGTGGTTAAAAATGACTTTCAAATAATATATGTCAAGTCAGAAACTGCTCCTAAACCGTGTGTTCAAAGACAGGCAGCCAAGCCCCTACAAGCCACTGCTGCAGGGGTTACATTCGTCTGTCCCTTCCTGCTTAGCCCTTCTGCTGACCCAATACTCATGCTGAAAACTGCCAAGCTGGTGCAGGATGCTCTTGGCTATGGAGCACCACACAGCTAAGAGGCCAAGCTGCTCAACTATTCTTATCAGGCAGAATGCACTCTAGATACAGACCATGTGAGAATTGTGCTGTGACAGAGTTGAGTGCTTCAGACTAGGCAAAAAGAATGGTATCTCCCATTTCAAAACTATACAAGGTTGCTTCCATTTTGCAACAAACCCCCAACCTTACTAAGAAGGCATCTCTAAAAAAAAAACAAAGTCACGTGTTAGTAGGAGGTCTGGTGTCTGCTGCAGCTTCTGCTTGGTGCCCAGAAGAAGAGAAACTACATTAAAGCTCAAGAATGGTCTTCTTCCCAAGGGCAGCCCTGGAGAAGCACTGGAAACTGGACAGTAACTGACAGGCACTACCTCCAGCTGCTCTCCAGACCCCAGGAGAATGTCTGTATGACAGTGCTTAATGGCTCTTTTTCAGAGTTCTATTAATATAGAACAAGCTAGAAAACTGAAAGAAAACATAATTTTATAACTATGCAAAAATTAAAAAGACAAATACAATAAACTGAACTGCACTTACTAATCCTTCAATGCCACATAACTTTATTGCATAGACAGACAAAGGCATCCCGCTATACAATATTTTAGCTCTTCTAGGGTTAAATTCAACTTGTCCTCCACTATAAAATTTTGTCTCCCTCCACCATCTAATAACCTAGCTACTAGCTGTTAGGAAATGGATATTCCATAAAATGTAGATCTCTTCAGACCATCTCCTTACATCCCCTCAGCATTTCTTGACGGTGTCCTTGAAGAAAGCTCATGTAGGCCTCACTACCTTTTCTAGCCTCATCTCTAGTACTGTTCACTCAAAGGTCTAATCAGCCAATATGCATCCTTTGGGGCTCTAGCACATTCCCCAAATATATCTGGGGCCTTTACACAGGCCAGAAAGCCTCTCAGGTAAGCAGCAAATAACACTTCTTTATAGAAATATTTGTTTGCTTTTCAGTCCCCCAAGCAGCAAATTTTCAGGAGGGATTTTTATCTGTCACATGGGCGCCTTTAGCAATGGGCACAGCATCTGGTGCACAGTGAGCTGCAGGACATTTTACTAAGGAAAAGAGGAGGAGAAGGAGGAGGAGGAGGAGGAGGAGGAGGAGGAAGGGAGAGAAGAACAAAAGGGAGGGGGCTGAAGAAGCAGGAAGAGAAGGATGGAAGGAAACTGAACACGTACGGATTCCAATGCTCTTTTGAAATCCTATAAAGACTGGAGAACATGATGGGAAGGATGACGTTGGAGTTTTCTTCTATCAAACTCATGATGTATTCATTATTCCAATAATAGAGTGCCCTTTCTGCTACCTTTGAGGAAAGAAAAGGACAAATTATAATCCTTTCAAATAAAAGTATTTTAAAGGGCTATTTTTAAATCATTCAATCAAAAGTATAATTAAATATTAATAATTCTTTACATTTTGTGAAGGTTTATGATCTCTAAGGAAGTCGCCAGGCAGTTCATGAGCTTGGGAAGGAAAAGTTTCCCCTACCTGGTAACCGTCGCCTCCTCTAAGTCTACACATCCCATCTATTCCCTCACTCTTCCCTGGACAGTTTCCGCGCGTCCTCACTCTCCACACACCCTCGTCCAGCTCAGCTTTCAGAACTCCTTGTCTGGCTTAGGTTTCATTCACTTTGAGTCTTAAATGTCCCCACAGGCCTGTTTTGTTTTGTTTTAATTTTATGTGCATTGATGATTCGCCTACCCGTATGTCTGTGTAAGGGTGCTGGATCCCCTGGGACTAAAGTCAGACAGCTGTGAGCTGCCATGTGGGTGCTAGGAATTGAACCTGAGTTCTCAGGACGGCCAGCCAGTGCTCTTAACCTCGGAGCCCTCTCTCCAGCCCCCAGGCTTATGGCTTCAGGCTTTGTGTGCAGCTTGTGGTGCTGCTTGGACAGCTGTGGGCCTCTACGGTGGAGTCTGCCTGGACAAGTGCGTCATCTGCTCATTGTCTCGGATCCTGGTTTCTGTCCTCCATGCTGCCATGCTCTGATTTCATCTGTGGGCCTCAGTTACTCGCCTTGGACTTGAACTCAAATGGCTTCTTTTATTTATGTAAATTAAGAAATTATGTTCTGGACAGACTGAAAAATTAGGACCTTTCTAGCTACACCACTCAGCAGGTTCAAAACACTGCTGACTTACCGGTTTCTGGTCCCTTGAGCACACAGAAACAGCCTTCAAGGAACAGTGCCACACACATCAGCCACTGTGTCCAATGACGTCACTGTTTTTGAACCTGGTAACTAATGGACGTGGTACCATTATTCTGATTTTTTAAATGAGGACTTTGAGAGCTAGATGATAAGTCATTGGTTCAAGGTCACATGGCTAGCAAGTGGCAGTAAGAGAACCTGCTCTTAACTCTCCTCTGCTGTCCCTGCAGAACTGACAGGCTGGTGGGAACAGGAGCACCTGTGGATCCATTCGATACGAACAGGGCTGTGGCGCAGAGTGAATAACCTGCACAGACATACACAGGGGCTGCATGGGAGCACGGCAGAGCTGGAGCGTATGCTAGGGCGCAAACGTGACTCCACACCCCCGGCCTCCAGGACTGGAAGGAAATCGGTCTCTGTTGTTGAAGCATTCTGTTATGGCAACCAAGTCCAGCCAAAACACCATTCCTCGTTCTCTTTTCTTGCAAGTGCGGGGTAATGTTCAACTACTGAACTTCATTCTCAGTCTAACAATCATCTGTCTTTCTGAGTTCTGAGTAACGTATAAGGCTCCCCGCCTGTTCCATGTGAAAGAACCATGGCCTCCCCCAAGAGCCTAGTGAAAACAGAAGGATAAAGGTCCATGTTGGAGTACTACAGTTACTGTGGTCTGCACACTGTTCTAAACCTTTCTAGTGCATCCAGACTGGACACTTCACAGAATGGTGCTCCAGTTACTTTTCCTGTTTGGTCTCTGGGGTATAAGCACTAGTTTAATACACTAACATGTCTTTAGATTTAAAAACAGTAACAGCCAGGGCCTCTACCTGACCTTCTGATGAGAAGTGTGCTTTTGCGCCATTGGACAGTATTTTCAAATGGTGGGCAGCATGGTGAGTCTGCTGGATTGGCAGGGTGGACTTTTAGTGAGGCAGCCACAGGTGGAAGTAAGCACTGAGTTCAACTTTGGTCCCTTTCTCTCCTGCGCGGTTTCCACAGCCCTGCAGCCATGGCCTCCTTGAAAGCACACATCCAGGCGCACCTTCCCTGTGTTCTCCTCAAACAGCCACAGGGAGGCAGAGCAGGCCATGGAAAGTCATGGGCTTTAGCCTTTTTAAGCAAGAAGCCACATTTCAAATAAAAATTCAACCACACTTCCTTATTAGTTTGGAACCTTAAACAAGGCATGAAGGGCTTTATCAGAGCAGTGGGAAAGATGACACAGCGTATCATTCAGCTTCTCTTCTCCTCCTAAGCATTACAAATACTCCTCCTCACACACTGGCAAAACCCTAGCAGCTCACTTCATTTAATTTACCCAAGTTATGACATTTTACTGCTCTAGGCTTTGTGTTCCCATGATGTCTTCTTGCAGGGTATTATGGGAATTGAAGAGATAGAGCCTGTTAGGGACAGGTGTTCAAGGTCGGGTGACTATTTGTTAATAGTATAGTTAGCCCATGAGAAAATCCCAAATGAAAACAAAGTAGCTGGAGAGATAGCTGAGTCGCTAAGACAGTGTTTGTACTGACTGCCTCTTGCAGAGGCCCAAATTCAGTTCCCCACACTCACACTAGGCAGCTCACAAAAACCTGTAACTCTAGCTCCAAGGAGATCTGAGCCATCTCTGGCCTCTGTGGGTACTGCATTCATGTATACATACCCACATACACAATTTTACCCCTCCAAAAAATAAATAAAGTAGCTAGTGTCCATTATGTCTTTATTTTTCAACACAAATGAAGTTTCTCCAAACTGATTCACATGGCTCACATCATTCTGAGACATGTTCTATTTACTACTAACCTGAAAATGGGGGCTAGAAACACACTTGGCAATTTGTTTAAACAAAGGTTCTTGGATTTTAACAAACTGTGATGGTTCAATCACATCCAAGATTTCTTCCAGCTCCCCAAGGAACATGACCTATACACAGAAGCAAAAAACAAAATATAAATCCATCACTAAAAATTCCACGTGATCAATTTCACTTACAATGTTAAGAAAAATGCACACGAAAAGCCAAGAAAGGGAAGGCAGGAGGGAGGAAGGGAGGAAAAGAGGGAGGGAGGAAGGTGGACAAACCAGACATTGTTCTATTCATTTTGGCCCGGGAGGATAATTCAGCAGGTAAGAGGCTTGCTATGAAAACATGAACAAGTTCCCGGTCCCCACATAAGAAGACGAGTGGTTATATGTCTATAACCCCAATATTACGGGGCGCTGAGACAGAAGGATCTCCAGAGTTTGCTGGCTGCAGCCTAGCTCCAAGATCTATGGTGAGTCACTGTCTCAAGAGTCCTTTTCTGGCCTCCATGTGCAAACCCCACCGCCACCCCATACACACAAAGACCATACTCAGCAAGGGTATTCTGTTAAAGTAAATTACTGATATTACTGATAGCACCAGGAATCCTAACTACATGGAGCCCCCCCACCCAGGGAAACTGGCCTCTCCCTCTTCAGGCCTTTGGGACTCTGCCCACTGCTAGCAACCAACCAACACTCCATCAGACCCCATTTTTAAAAATAATGTCTAACCCTCCTGAACTTATGTGCACTGGTCCACACCACCACAGGACAGTCACTTGACAAGCAGCTGCCATTCTGCTATGCTCTCCAAGCCTGAGACAAACAGCAAACTCATTCATGTTAAAGTAGCACGTGAACCATATCAGCACACAATGACCTGTTTACTATGCTTATATGCACACACATGTACACACTCTCTCCCTCTCCCCCTCCCCTCCTTCTAGAACACAGTGAATCTCATGGCCTGGGACTGTATGCAAAAGAAAGCTTGAAGATCACACAATGGAGTGAGACAAATAGATTTAGATGTTTGTATTAACAGAAAGGAAAAACAACAAATAAATGCCAGTTACCTGTTTATTCATGAAAAATAGCACTGGGAAAAGCAACTAGGCAATTAAAGTATTAAGAAGGATGCTTCTATCCTATCTCAAGGTGGAGATGCAGTGATGCAGCGATTCCCTTTACCTCATGCTATCAAGAAACGGGGTAACGTCCTGAGGCTCTAGGGCAGGACTAGGACCACAGCTGATGTGAGGGAGCGGCTCTTTCCATATACTGCGTCCTTTGTCAAGACACATCCATGCCTTGGGACAGAAAGCTAACAGATGGCCTCTGTTTCTAGGCTTCAGACTGGTGTGGAGATGGTTAGGCTCCCTTCAAGGTGTTACTTGGGGACTCACTCCTCCCTACAAAGACTCATGGTGGGACATGCCTGTTTAGGTGACGGTATGGTCCTTCACTCCCAGGCATGACAAGTTAAACGTTTGCTATATATTATGATACTGCACACAGGAACCCCCGAGCACTGGAGTAGGCTTCCAGGCTATGCAAAGTCACTATCAATGTGCTATCAATTGAGCTGGAATAACTGGAAACACAGTGGGGCGTGGCCAGGGGTTATAGCAGCTAGAAGTTCAGGGTTCAGAGTTCAGGAAGCAGGTTCTGGTTTGTTGGCATACTCTCACTCAGTGTGCTTAGGCATGCTACTTAACATCTAGACGCCTCAATTTTATCACTAGTAAAAATGAGAACACCGGCTGCCATGGAACTACAAAGCTAGCTTTGGATGAGGCATATATGTCTGTGCATGCTTAGTCCCACTGAGCACTTGGCAAAGCACTTCCTTCAATACTGGTATTCTCTGATGTTAAATACTTACCTCTTTTTGACTGCATGTTTTAGGCCAAAATTTCATTAAACCCCTAATAACCTAGGAGAAAGAACAATAGACATTTAGTGTTCCACATGATTTTAATAAAAATGGGTTTTTTTTTTTCCTTAAGTTTTTTTCACAGTATGAAAAGAAATGAATAGCTTACTGGTTCTGTAAGTGAAGGATCTTTCTCCAGAAACTGTACTATACAATACGCCAGCTGGGCAAGAAAGAAGAGAAAGGACATCATGTTAAATCCCACACGGCAAAAGCTGAGCGCTCCTGGCACCAACACATCTCAAAAGCACCCAGGCTCTGGTTTTAATGATACAATCACTTCATTTAAACTCTCATGAAAAATAAGTCTTTTACATTTTATTCATTTAGAATTGGGATCCAGCTATGTTGCACAGGCTAGTCCTGAACTCCTGAGTTTTTAAAATGATTCTCCTGCCCCAGCTTCCTCAGTAGCAGGGACTATAGCTAAAAGCTGTGTTTTCAAGTCAATAACAGAGCAACAAGGCTCCCGAGGAATTTTTTTCTTAAGAGTTCTAAGATTTCTGAGGCTGATGGAAAGGGCTGAAACTGCACTCTGAGAGGATCTCGTTTACAGCCACAGACAGGTGACATCTCAGGTTATGGGATTTAGTTTCTGCGGGGAAGCAAGTGTTTTCTAAAAACTTAGGAAACTGCCTCCACAGGTCTGAAAACACAGCTTCCCAAAAAGACCACAGGAGAGACTTTGCCATAGTCAGAATCTGGGGAGTACTCCAGTCTCAACAGGAATGTTTTCAAATAACCATAAAATGTTATCTCCCACAGCACAGACTAAAGAGACATTTTCTAGAGGGCTCAGAAACATTCCTGAACTGGAGACCTACCCTCTTAAAACACCAGTATTTTGATGGTGTGCTAAATCTGGAACATATGCATGAATTTTTCTTCAAAATACAGAGTTCCACATTTAAGAAGGAACACTACTTAGAAAAATGTGTTACATTTTAATGCAAACTCAAAAGAGAAAGGAGCCAGAGGCTTAAAGCACTAAAATTAAAAATATCACTAGATCAATTACATCTTCCAGTGGCACGCTTACCATGCACTGCAGTGTTCAGAAAAGGGTTACAGTGAGCGTGACACGGAAGCTGATGACCATCGCTACTCCTTTTATGGACGTATCTGGTTTTCTCTGAGACAACTATTGCCAATGCTAGCCTCAATCTGGAGGCAATCCTGCCTCAGGCTTGTAAGTGTTGGGATCACAAGGTGATTTTCAAAGTAATGAAGGACTTATAAAAGGAAGGTGGGAAACTACTGAGAGGTCTGGTTACTTGTGCAAGTGTCTACTGTGTGTGCAAAACGAGAAAAGGGAAAGCAGACGAGGGCAAAGTGAGCCGGGACCAGTATTCGAGCGCATCCAATTCACCGGGAAGGCCCATGGTTGCCCACACTAGTTGCCATTCTATTTCCTTCTTACGCTCTACATTCACATCCTTTCTGCTGTTGGCAATTTTTACAGCAGCTAACCTTGGGGACACAGAAGTCGGCAACGAAATAAGATGGAAACAAAGGCCATTCCTATCTTTAAAATAGTTCCATGATTCTACTGTGTTTAAAAAAATAAAATGCATGCTTTATTATCTTCCTCAGGGAGTGTTTTTAACCATTTTTAACCTTTAACACACATTTTCTAAGAAACACTAAGTCCACAAACTTCATTTTGTTTCAAAGGAGGACTAAGAGACTGTGTGTTCACAGTCAGCCTTAGCTACAAAGAAAGACTTTGTCTCAAAAATAAAAATAAATAAATTCATGCATGCATACATACATACATACATATATATATATAAATAAATAAAGGTTTTAATATAAGCTCCTACCTGGGCATGGAAGAGAGATAAACTCCTGACAGTATGTAGAGGGATCAACACTTTGACCAGGAACTGTTTGTGCTCTGCCTTAAGTGGTAAAGCAAAGCCATTGATAATACTAGAAAAAAAGAAAAACAGGTTAGCAATGTCGTTCCACATACTGAACCCAGACAAACTCTTGTTATGAGCTGGCTACCCCTCAGTTTTTATCTGTCCAAAAAACATAGCCAACCCCTCCCACCACTGACAGTCAAGACTTTAGTTACTTCAACTAAAGATCATTTACTAAGTAGGAATTTAAAAAAGAAAGTGAATCTGATTATGAATATCCAACAGAGGAAACTGCTTTCAAAAACAGGCAGACAGTGCCTCAAAATTTCTTATCAAACCCATGTTTTGTTCTCCTTCTGCTCCTCTGTGTAGCATCCACCCTAACTTGCTCTTCACTCTGCCTCCAGAGAGCAGCACCTCACCTGCCTGCTATCTTTAAACACCCTGCCTTCTCTAGACACCATTTCTCCTCATCCCTGAAGCCGCCGCCCAGCTCAGGAGTCACTGAGAGGAAGCAGGGAGACCACACCTGCTTCTCCTCCTAGGAGGAGAGACTAGGCCATCACTATCCAGCTCGGTCAGCTCTGAACCTCACACAACAGCTGCCTTCTTCCACCTCTGAGGCCAGCAGCTGCCTAGAACTCCATACTCGGGCATACAATCTTTCCAATTCATTATAAATCTGCTTTCAACAGATGTGAGAAAGGACAGGTAACCCACAAGCTAAGCCTAGCGAATGAGAACCTTTGCTGTCACTGGCCTGACACCCAGTCAGACACTGTCTCTGAGTAAGCTCCGAGCTCCTTCTCATTGTGGGGTAGTTAACAATATCTAACTGTGGAACAAAGGAGCAAAGGTGAGTCCTGGAGTCACCTGGGAAACAGGCTAAGCACAAATGAGGGAGACCTAAGGTTCTTGGAGCAAGAGATCCAAGTCAGCACTCCCTTCTGCCACCTGAACGTGACCGGCAAAATGAATGAGATTCACTGAAATCCTCAACTCACAGCAAATGCTTACCTTCCTAATATTTCCAGCAGTTCAGCTACACCGTTGAAGTGTTCTGTTTCATAAACAAACCTGAGAAGAGAAAGAAGAAAGGAGAAGGAAGGAAGAATAGGCAGGGGAGAAAGAAGGAAGTTAGCACATTTCCTTCCACTATTGGCGGTTTACTTAACATTTGTAAAAACATCAATTTTGCTCTCCTGCTTGCCCATCATCCACTCACCTTAGAAAAATATTGTTAATTTGTTTTCGGATAAATGCTCTAAGCCCAAGAAACTTGCCATAAATCCTGTGCAAGACTGTTTTTAAATAGTCCCGTTCTCGGGGGTCTTCACTGTCAAATAGCTCCAAAAGCTGTTGTAAATGAAGGTAGAATAAAAAGCTGTCAGAGACAGTTTTGGTAAATGACTTAGAAATTCTATCATTATTATTTATAATCCCTCTGCTCCCTTCTTCCCTAGCACAGCAGTCGTCTTTGGGAAGTCAGCTGAGTCAAAGCTGTACAGCCAGGGAGGACATGTACGCAACAGCAGCTGAGACAGGAACAGCCAAAGCAGTGCTCACAGCATCAATCAACCAACCACTTTCTACGCAATCTACATAGGTCAGTCCTTCTACGAGGCGGTTTTATCCTCACCTTACAGATGAGTTAACTGGAGTACAGAGTTAATTAACTTGCTGGTGATGTCAGAGTGAGAAGCATTAGGACTGGGATTTGAACCCAGGCATGACATCCTGGGTTCATGTTCCAGTTAAGCCCTTCAGTTAAGGCCCAGGAAGATGAAATGACCTAACCCAAAGCCGACACTGAAATTCCCAATGTCCCAGCAATGTTCTTGTTAGTCTGGGTGGTTACTCGGGTATACTCAGGGTGGAAGGGCTCAAAGTAGACATGTACTACGCCTGGACGTGTGAACGGCATGCCTTAGGTTCTAGATCATTTATAATTTTAGCCACAGAATTCTAATAACATGATCCCAAGTCTCATGCCATAAAACAGAAAACAAATTCAGTCTTAGGCCAAGTGGCAGGGGCCACTACATATTCAACCCAATCCCTGTAAGAAATCACAGGGGCCTTGTTTGTGACTACTTGTATACTGACTACTGAAGACGCAGGAAGAAAGCTCACTGGCCGAGAGACGAGGACTGTGCGCAAAGCCCTGTGCTCAAACACCAGTGGGGTGGGGAGGGTGGGGAGGTATGACCTGCATGTGAGCACGCCTACAATGCAAGCACTTAGGAAGTTGAGTCCAGAAGATCTCGAAGTTGAGTTTAAGGGGAGCTATACACGACCTGGTGTCAAACAATCAACAACAACAAAATTGATTGAATCTAAATTTATATACAAATACAAGTAATTTGAAAGAGCCAAAGCAATCTTGGTAGTAAGAGGACCAAAGGACTCACATTTCTCAGCTTTAAGACTCAATAAAAAGTTACAGTAATCACGCGCATGCCTCTGGTATGTGACAGATTATATATAAACTTTCAAATTCATGCTCAGTTGGCTCCATGGGATGCCATGGCATTTCAGTATGGAAAGAAGCAGGCTTCAATCTAAGAGGCTGGGTCAACAGAGAGTCACATATAAAAATGTAAGTCACACTTCTAGCTCATACTACGAATTCAAATGGACTCAAAATAGATAATCAACCTAAAGACAAGAGTAAATGACAAATAGAAGAAAACTCAAGAATAAATCACAACTCCAAATCAAGTGTTTTTTTTTAAACCACTGCCAAGAAATGAGTAAACAAAAAAAGGAAAGGAAAAAACTAAAAACATATGTGCTTTAAAGACAGTAAAAAAGATAACTTACAGAAATAAAGTATGTGCAAAAAAGGCTAGCAGTACCCACAATATATAATGAACTACTAAATCTCAATAACAGCACAATTCCAACGGGAAGATAACAGGAGGTACAGTTTATGACTGGTTTGCTGCGGGAAGAGTGATATTTTTCTTCAATGGCAGAGCTACTGATAAGGTGCCTGCACTCCTGTAAGCAATCCTAATTAAGCTCACTGAGCTTACCCCCCGCCCCCGAAAAGACGATATCAACAAGTGGGGCTAGTTGAGAAGACAAAGATACTTGGAAGTGAGAAAGAAACAAAAGACGGAAATGGGGAGTGATCAAAATGTATTATATATGAGCCAGGGAGTGGTGGCACACGCCTTTAATGCCAACACTTGGGAAGACAGAGGCAGGCAGATCTCTGTGAGTTTGAGGCCAGCCTGGTCTACAGAGCAAGTTCCAGGACAGCCATAACTATTATAGAGAGAAACCATGTCTAGAAATATATAAAATCATATATGTATATGGAGTTCATTGTGTCTAAATAATGTATGCTAAAAAACTTCTGAGAAAATGAAAACTCAACTTGAAAACTGACGAAGGATGTTTGAGAAGATATATCCCAAAGAAGGTAAAGAATGGCAAATGAATACATGGAAAAGTGCTCATTTCATTAACCATGAAAATGCAAACCAAAGGAAGACAGCACTCATCTGATGCAGCCTCAAAGGGGGAAAGAGACAAGAAAGTGTTGGTGAAGACACTGGAGGCTTCCTTTACTGTTGGCGAGAATGTAACGGTGCAGGGTGAGGACAGTCTGGTAGCTCCACAGTCCATACCTCATTCCCAAGTACATGACGGACAGTACAGAAAGTATACATCCATACAAGTGATTCAAAGTATGAAAGGTTGCACACAGTTGTTCAGAGAAGCAATGCTGAAAGCACAATGTCCATCAGTAGGTGGGAGGAGGACTGCTCATAAAGAAAATGAAGAGTTGAGAATCCTATTATTATCATGATACAGATGAGACTGCCAACCATTGTGACAAAGAAATCAGACGCAAAAGGACATAAGATGCAGGGTTGAATTTATATGAAATACTCAGAACCGGTGTAAGAATGAGTTTAGATTTCGTCTGGAGATGATATAATATTCTCCACAATCCTGTAATTTAAAATTACTGAATTGGAAGGCTAGAGGGACAGGGGATCTGGGTCAATTTCCAGGACCCATGTAAAAAGCCATGTTTTTTACATGCAAGGTTTTTTACATTGCAAGGTGGCACATGCTTGCAATCCCAGCACTGGGGAGGAGAGACAGAAGGATACGTGGAGCTCACTGGCCAGCTAACCAGTGAGCTTCAAGCCATGACAGGCACTGTCTCAAAGCAAGCAAATGTGAATGGCACCTGAGGAATGACTGATCACTGGCTTCCACATGCATGAAAATACATGTGTACACATACCTGAACCTTATGCATCCACCCCATACATATATTTAAACATATAGATACAGAGTATTGAATTGTAAACTTCAAAAGGGTAACTTTATGTTACATAAACTATAATCTGACAAATCTGCTATTTTGTAGAAATGACAGTGGAACTTGGAAGCACTCCTGAATGTTATTAATTCTTATTATGTTCATTACCGCTGCAATAAAACAAAACCAAGTCAGCATGTAAATAAAAGCTGCCTACCTTCATCCTCACAAAAGACTGTGTGTGTGTTCATGCAAGCATGATTACATATATTTATGTATACATACATGAATCCACATGACAGAGATGTGAGGCTGAGTCTCACAGTAGACAGGGGACGATAATCATATGAACAAGGTTTTGTTTGAAGAAAGACAGTTCTGGGCAAAAGTAATTAATTAAAAATAAAGCCCTTCAAATATGGCAGGAAGCAAAAACTGAAGGATAGTCTTTTAAAATGGACAGCGAAACAGTGCACAAGTTTGGCTTTGCGGCGCTTATCACCTATCAGTTTGTTCTCAATTGGGTATTTTGAGTAAATCTTTATTAGTATATATTAAGAGTCAACAAATGGGCGAGGAGGTGCCAGGGATATAGTGATATGCAAGTCAGACATAATCTGCTTTCACAGAGTCTAGTCTAACAGTGGATAAAAATAAACAAGCAGTATAAGTAGTTCAAGATGTTGTACAAGTGCATAATGGATTTGTCTACTCTAGCTGGAAGAAATACTGTAACAGAGAAGGCGTCTAGGGAGAGAGCTAGCCAACCCCCTCCCCAAACAGAGACATAAAAGAACTGGAGCAAGTGTTTGTGCTGATCAGCTTTCTGTCGCTACAACAAAACACTTACCACAAACTACTTGTGAAAAAGAATGCTCTTTTTTTTTTTTATCTCAATTTTGAAGGCTGAATGTTCAAAATGACAGTGCATACAGAGCTCCATAGCCAGGACTGCCCTTGACCACACTGATAAGGGAGTCATCAATTACAGACAAGGAAGTGATCACATTACAACTCCAACCAGGACAGAGAAAAAGAGAAACTTGTATCTTATAATCCCTCCCAAGACTGTGCCCCAAATGACCTAAGGTCCTCTCACTGGTCCCAACATTTTAAAGGTTCCATATCATTCGCCCAACCTGCCACCTTGGGTGCCAACCCTCCAAATGCGAGGTCATTTATATCACACCCAAACCAGTGCAATTTTCCCAAGGGATTGTGGGGTAAGGAAGGCAGCAGCCTAACTGACTGATGATACTCTCAGCAATAACTGTCATATGGCTGCTCAAGTAGCAATAAACAAGTATGTGTGAGCCCTTTCCTCTTGTTATGGATATCCCTGCTGCTCGGGACATAGACTTCCAGCTAACTAACAGAGGCAACCACTGAGTTAACAATTTACTTGCACAGGAAAGCATTCTACTTAGAAAGGAAAAACATGTGGCTTTAACCAGTCAGAGAGGAGAGGGAGGGTGTGTGTGTCTCAGATGTGCTCATTATCTCTTATGTAAGAGACACTCAAAACTACTCAAGGTATCTAACCCATCTATTGCATTCCATTCCTTGGCCATGGAAATTAACCTTTCCAAGTTCTATTTTTTAATCTGGTTTCTACTTTAAGTGGTGCAAAGGGGCTTAATGAGTAATAAGCAACCAACATAAGAAGAGGTTTGTGGGGGTGGAATGTTAGCAAAACTTGAATCAACTGAGCTTCTGTATTGCTAATCTAAAGAGTTTAATAACTGTATAATTAAACAAAGATTATTTAACTAAATATTTCATTAGATTCTCCAAAAAAAAAATCAATTTTAAGGAGGACCCTGACTAAAAGCCTCTGCAGGGTCCTGTTAAAAAGCACCATCCTCTGCAGCAAACAAAGACAAGCCTGGCTGCTTCCTGCTGGCCTGAACAACACACTCCTGGCAGCATTATGATGGAGGAAGCAGAACCGAAAGGGTAATGGCATGAAAGGCAGTACCTTTAAAGCAGGTGGGGAGTTGGGTGAGTTCTTATTTCCAAAACCTAACAATGTATACAAAACAATTTAAGAAAACACAGTATTTCCACATCT